AGTAAGTCCAGTGCTCTCAAACTCTGCTCATCTGCAAATCTGTGCCCAATTTAAGCAGCATTCCCAATCAGGAGAATGTTTACACAAAAAGCTATACTTGCTTTATATCAAGTTTTAGTTTGTAAACTTTGGGGAATATACTTTCTTTTCTACAGCTTAGCAAGTCAGTGGATAAACACAGAAAATGTGAGCCTTTCTTATTGAGAAGTTAAAATTTTTTTGTAGAGAGCCTGTCACATCTCCATCTCCACACACATGAGAACATCTCCCAGAATTACCAGGCACTGATCTAACTCTCCACATCAGACAGAAAGCTCACCTGCTCCAGGGAGCTTTCACTCTGTGGTCGTACAAGTTCTTCTGCAACCTGGAAAAGTGAAATGCTCCCCAGGGCCAGGGAAATACCACAGCACTGAACTCTGGGGATTACACAGAGAGGGCTCTGCTGAATCAAGCCAGGGGAATATAAGCTGGTGGTCTGCCTTGCTGATTTGTAGGTTAGAGAGCCAGGTGCTTCAGTAATGATGCCTTGAAACTCCAACCTGCGTGGCAGAAAAACATCTTCTTTTAAAAGACTTCTGCCTTACAGTTTGTCCTCTTCCACACATTCTCACATGGCCTCTTCTGCTCCAGTAGAATTACTGTACATGTTCTACACTCATACAATTAGTAACTGCACCTGCTAACAGGGGCTATAATTTTTAAGCCAGTTGTATCCACAGAGGGTGTGTGCACACAGACAATTGTGTCCTCAGTTGTCTTTGGTGTATCTTTCCTGCTCTCCTCTGTGTTTCTTCTGGGCAGGGACTGCTGTCACTAAATGAGCTGGTGTAACACTCAACTAAAGCTGCACCATGTGGCAGGCAGGTTTAAATTTTCAGTAGAGAATGGTCAGAAAACTATTTTATTATTTTTAAGTAATCAACATGGAAACAATAGCCATGATTAAGTCACAACAGGCATAACCCAGTTGTAACCACAGAATTAACACTTTACATGAACATAACAGAACTGACAAGTGTGTTAACATCGTTCAGTCACTGAGCACACGTGTACAGTAAGGTCAGCATTAATCTGTTAGGAATGCTACACAATCAGCTGGCCAGTGTCCTTCCAAGGCAGAGTGCTTGCTGTCAGACAGGCCGGGGGGACTCCGGAGCTGCACTCCGAGGCTGCCCATAGGCCCTGCCTCTCCTCCCCTCTCCGCAGTTCTGGTTTCCCTCTGTTTGTTGGGATATAAAAGCACGACCTGCTGGAAGGAGGAGGAGCCGCGGTGCCTCACCCGCTGCGTTACCTGAGCGCGGCAGACGAGAGCAAGGCTGGCTCTGCTGACAGCGTATGACCTTCATCAGTAGCTGCTATTCAGACTCTTTTCCCTCCCCTAATTCCTTGCTCCATGGACAGGACATGCTTTTGGAGCTGTACCGCTTTCAAGATGCTTTCTTTTACATATCACTCTTTAATAGGAATCCTGTAACAAAATAGAAATCTTGCTTTTGTAGAAAGGGGTTCTCTAAATCCACCCCTCCCATCTCCTAGTCCTTACACACCGTACCTTCCTCTTTTTCAAAACACTAATGCATGTACTTGGCCACTGCTTCTTTATGGAAGTACCAAAGTGACACTCAAAAGGGTAACTTGCACTTGGTATTGTGCTCCTGGCTCCTCTTGATCTGAGCAACATAGGATAAACTTCTCAGCTAGAACATTTTCATAATCACAGGGAGGGGTCCACCCTCAAAAATAAAAATCCTCAGTCTTTTTAGAACCAGACCAGAGGACATGAGTGAACAAAGCAGCAATCTCCATCGTTCTTCCCATCAGGATTCTTCCTGGGATGCCAGCTGCTGTGTCATGTTCACTGTAGAGACAAGAGAAGACATCAGCTTATCTACTGTCAATTCTACAAGTTTTGATGGAGAAGTCAAAAAACATCCTACAGCTTGCTCAAGTGGGCTTTTTCTCCCAAAACCACTTACTAAAGCCTCCCCTGCTCCTTCTCATCTAGCTCATAGTGTTCTGGTGAAAAAAACCAACAAAAACAACATGACACCAGACCAAACCAAACCACAACAAAAAAACCCACCAGCCCAGAAAAGTATATGTGTGATTATTTCTGGTTCCAGGAATGTTGTTGGACACTGCTGTTCTAAGTTGCTAAGTGTTTACCACTAACTACTTTTCTACTTTTAATCATCTTTTTATTAGTTACAGCAAGGCAAATCTATTGCCAGTACTGTGGTTTTGTACTGTCAGGCCAGGTCTGGGCATTCTCAGGGTGCCCCAAACAAGCCATAACAAGGTACAGACTACTTGCATTCCTCTTGTGGCCACCAAGCTTAAACAGTTCAAAAACAGTTAAAAATTCATGCAAAACTAAGGTCATAGTTTCACAACATGCCCTCTTCTGCAGCAATAGCTTTACGATGCCCCCTGGCAACCCCTTGGGTTGGTGGGACAGTGGTCTGAGCTGGGACAGGAAACATGGAGCCAGGACTCAGGGACTAAGCCAGTACTACTCTAGTCATGTTCTGCAGTGACCCCACAGTCTAATGCACCTTCCACCCTGCCTCATTCCCGTGAGGAACACACCGGTGTAGTTGTCCTGCCCATGGGTCCCTCCTCTGTCCGGTGCTTCCCGGAGTGCGGCAGCTCTGAGCTGTCCCGATAATCTCGGCCCTTGGAGTTCTGCATGTCCAGCACCGCCCGACTCTTCGAGGGCAGGGGCGGCTTGTTCTGCTGTCCCTGGGTGCTCAGGCTGACTTCAGCCCTCAATGGCTTCACTAGTTTCTTGAGCTGTGCCGAGTTTTCCAGTGGTGTTGTCACCTTCGGTTTGCCTTGGCTCTTCTCACCTGTATTCTTTTCTTCCGCCTGGCCGGAGCAGGTGTAGGACCGGAATCGCTGTGTGGGGACCAGGAAAGGTGGGGATGGCTGTTTGCCAGGGGTCTTGCTGCCCTCAGGCTCCTGTGGCTTTGTGAGATGACAGCTCTGCTCAGGCAGTGGCAGCTGCTCTTTCCGCAAGGCCTTTGGGTATTCCTGCTCTTTCTTGGGAGGCACCTTGCCCTTGGAGCCCATGGAGCCATACAGAGGGTTCTCAAACATCTCCGGCCTTTGCTGTCCCTCCTCCAGAAGCACAGGCTCTGCTGTGGATTTCCCCAGTTCAGGTGGCCTACAGTCATCAAAACAGCGTGTAAGGGAGACTTGTAAAGAGCAGGCAAGAGGCACTGACTGAGTTAGAGACAAAATGAATAGCAAATGAGCCTGATAAAATTAAACTGACTGTGTAAAGGAGTAACAGGAAAACAATTAAACTCAGGGAGAGAGAACAGAATTGTGCATTGTTTTTACCTTGTTTAATCACTAGGAACATGACAGCAGAGAGCAGATATGCGTGGCCCTGTATAAACTCCCTGCTAGACTACAGTCCTGCAAAGTGATACTTGGCTTCTCTCTAAACAGAGATAAGCCACTGAGCCAGACTGTGCCAAGTGCTTTGATGGCTTTGTGACACACACAAATCTGAATTTGAATATTAATAAGAATCTTCAGATCTGTCGGACAGGATGGCTGTCTGGAGGCTTAACGCAAGAGCTCATATCATCCTGTAACATTTTACAACTAGGTCAATCTCCTCTTGCTACCAACGCAGCGTGGTATTCTTAAGGAAGGGATAAATCTCCTTACTGCACCCAAATGCACACTAGAGGAGTAAGAGCTCTATCCTCTAGGGTGAGACAACTCCTCTGTGTTCATAGTGGAGCCCCTTGAGCAGCAGCTCAGCCTGGAATGAGAGCAGAGCTGCCAGTGGGACGCAGCAGGTCTGGGGGTTTCTGTGATGCCCTGGTGTGGCAAGGCTTTAATCTGGAGAACCACCACAGGGCTTAAAAAATCAGCCATAGTATCACTGAGCAGAGGGGAACAGGGGTGAGTGGCACATGTTCTTTGGGTGCCTTCAGGAGAGTTGTGTTCCTGGCTTCCAGCTGTGTTCAGTAGTCAGTACAGGCAGGAGCAGAGCTGAGAGCATGTTTGGAGCACTGCAGGGTTTGAACTGCAGGGTGCCACATCCATTTACAGTGAGCTCCAGCCCAGGCTCAGAGAGCAGCTGTCACTGTCAAAAGGAGGTGTGGAACAAGGACACAGATTGCACACAGGCACCGGGGTGAAGCTGCCTCATCACTTTACTAAGTTGGGTAGGGATGGGATATTTTCAGTTGCCAGATGGAAATTCTGCATCAAGGCTTGTGATAGATGCAGCACATGGATTCTGGCTTCTTAGCAAGCTGGATGTTTGTATAGTAGTGCAAGTGGAAATTCAGTGAAAGTACTTCACATATGACACTTGAAGGAGCTCTCTTTCCCATCCAGGGGAAAGATCTATGCCACACTCTCCCCTTTTCTCTTTTGTTATTACAGTCAACTCTGTGATCTTCTCCTTTTCTCTTGGCAGAGAATTAAACCTCTATCAGGCTGAGAGAGCTGGGGTTGTTCAGTCTGAAGAAAAGAAGACTCTGGGGAGACCTTATTGTGGCCTTCCAATGCCCAAAGGGGACTTAAAATAAGGAGGGAGAGCAACTGTTTACACAGGCAGATAGTAACAGGACAAGGGGGAGCAGTTTTAAACTAAAAGAGGACAGATTTAGATTAGATTTGGGGAAGAAGCTCTTTACTCAGAGGGTGATGAGGCCCTGGCACAGGTTGCCCAGAGCAGCTGTGGCTGTCCCATCCCTGGAAGTGTTCAAGGCCAGGCTGGACAGGGCTTGGAGCAACCTGGGATAGTGGCAGGTGTCCCTGGCCGTGGCAAGGGGTGGGACAAGACAGCCTCTCAGGTCTCTTTCAACCCAAACCGTTCTATGATTCTGAGATTCTATTGTTTAGTTGTAAGTTTAACTTATATATTTTTGGCTTTCCTTTCATAAAGGTCTGAGGAACTACTACACTTGTTTTCTTTGAGTATGAGATGTCTGCCCTTGTGACCTTTACTTATCTTTTTCTAATTCTAGAGATAAAATATAGAAAGAATACGCTGAAGGTTGAACTCTTCATACAGATAATGAAACAGTGACAGTGTAGAACAACAGGAGAGAGGGGCCCAGCCCCAGTGCAAAACTCAAAGACTCACAGGTACTCTTGACTCCGACTACAAATGCTTCTGTTTGCTGTGGGCTGGAGGGGTGGCTTTGGGGACAGAGGTGACAAGGAGGGCGATGTGGAGGATGAGGGACTCTGTCCCATCAGGGAGGTGGTCTCTTTGGGCTGCTGGTCGTAGTTCCAGAGAGAAGGTGACTGGTCTGCTGAAGGTGTCTGCTTAAGCTGGCAGGTTGCAGAGGGCTGCTGAGAGAAGGGAGCCATCCCCAGGTAGTTGGGGTTGCTGATGTCTGTGGGGGTGGAGCTGCTAAAGACAAGAAATATTGTTAGGGAGATACATGCACAGATACACTTGGTTTTTTGTCTCCCTGCCAGCTACAAAGGAGTTAGTGCCCACTGACTGCTTAGATTCAATACCACCTACTTTTCTTTTTTTTGTCACTTGCTTCAGAATCAGAGAATAAGTGGGAGTCCTGTTAGTGCCTCCCTCCCCTGGGTCACCAGAGAGGAAGCAGCTGGGTCAAGGCCACCTCCCCCAGCCCCAAAATAGTTCCTCTGGCTGTGGCAGACACTTCCTTTTCCAGGCTGCAGAGAGCATTCAGCTTCTGCAGCCACATCCAGGGGCTTTCACAGGTTTCTGAGCCCAGCAGGAACTGCCTGCAAAGAAGAGCCCCTGTGAAAACGGAGTGAAAGGACAGCCTTGCCCCGACTCATCCTGTGACTCTTGGAAAGGAAAAGACAGGCAGTTTGAGCCCAGGTTCCCAGCCCAGGCTGGCAGAGGTAAAGCAGCAAGGTTACCGTAGGATATCCTCCTTTCCTGCAGTGTCTGGAGAAGGAGAAGCACTGCCCCAGTAGCGAGCCACGGCTGCTGCCTCTCTGGCCATCAGATGAGTAGATTTTGACTTTCTGTTGGAAATAAAAGGGCCCTTTCTAAGTGGGGTTCAGGGACCTGGTCTGGCTAATGCATTCTCAGCTTTTGAAGCTTTGGGCACAGAAGCATTGACCAGCCCTGACCAGAGAGCCACAGAGCAGCTTCCCAGTGCTCACCACCCCTGTTAACACTCCTATGGCAAGCCCAGCTTGGCCTCTATTGAGCCAACCATTTTTCTGGTGCTGACTTACCCTCTTGCCCTTTACCTGTTAGTCTGATCCCACTCTTTGTTAGGCTCTAAATTGCTGATGTTCCTTGTTTTCTGCCCAGCAATTTCATCACGTTCAATCTTGACAAAATCTGAAGGAAAGGAAAGGCATAAGAGTGTTTTGGCAGCTTCAGAGTCTGCCCAAGTTTTGTGTGTTACTACTTGCATTAAGGCATCTCTCTTTGTCCATCAGAATGATGGACAGTTTTAATCTGTTGTTGCTGTTATGTTTTCAACTGCCCACAAATACACGTAATTCTTGTTGACATAGGAAGAAATGTGTATCTTGAAATACAAAGGTTTGTGATCCTTTAGCTAAGGAACTGCTCCTTCAGAGCCTCACTCATCACCTTCTCATATAGCCACTACAAGTGGAAGTTAGATATCCCAATTCAATAAAATCAGTATTAGTGACAGACAGGGGGCTCTCTCAGTCTGCCAAATTTACTTGAATGATGAAAAAAGATACCCAAATCGAATTGCTCTGTCTCTCTGAAAGAGTACAGGTATCCTCCTGAGAACTAACAATACTCACAGCTCCTTTCAGTCAGCATCAAAGGCACTTGTCTCTTTGGGACTATAAGCACTGCAGGGGTAATTTTCACTTCCTTGACAGTTATCAGAAATCTTTGGAGGTGAATACTCTCTAGGGTGAGCATTGCAGAGATGATGACATTCCTTACCATACAGCTTCTCTCTCTGTTTCCCTTGTGATGTTTGCAACTTGATTTCACCTTGGAAGACTCCTGTTTTCTCTCCATGGTGTGTCAGCACAGTATGGATAGGAGCTAAGGATTCTGTTGCTTCTATTCTCAGGGCAATGCAGCCTTCCCCTAAAAGACAACAAGGAGACAATGAGCCTGAGACTGAGAAAAAAAGCACTTAAATCTCTTGTGTCACCTACTATCACTGTGCTGCAATTACTGGAGAGAACCTGCTTTGGATCACAGCAAGGAGTGTATTATCTCCTGAGAAATCAGGGGCATTCATTTCACTTCAAATATGTGTGAAAGATCTGGGCACTGGAGATACCTGTGGGTGACTGCAGTGTTCTGAGCTTCCATTCCTGGTAAGGAAAACACGAGCCTGTGGCTGCTATTTCAGTTAATGGGATTTCAGCAAAGAGCCTTCTGTGGACAAGGACTGCAGTCTCTGGCTGCAGAATTTGGAAGCCAGCAGCACTGCCAAATCCTTTTCTGGAGCCAGGAGAAATGCCTCAAGTAAGTGCAAGTGAAATAGGATTTGAATATTCTGAATAAACCCATTTAACCAGACTGACTCCTGATTTAATTCCCGTACTTTCTTTTTAAGCCACTGCTCTTTTAGAGCTGGTAAAGCTCACACAGGTTGTTGCTTCATATTTCTCTAATCATAATTACGTCACAAACTATTGTCCACAGTGTATTTTTGTGTATGTTGAGTTCTAAGTCAGAAGTCAGAGTATCATAGATGTTCTGTAAGAGTTACTTCTGTTCTCTCCCACTCTTTCAGTGGTTTGGAAGAATCTAAGTAGATTTTGACTCATCCAGAACTTTAGAGCTAAGCACTTACCATAAGATTCATCACTGTCTGACGACTTAATGCTGATCAGGATGTGTTGATCCAGTAGATATTCCGGGTCTGAAATAATTGGGGTCAGCTGCAAAGACAAGTTAAGGTGGGTCAACACAATAGATGGGCTACAGGAGCACAGTTCTCCCCGTGCCTCAGTCCCAAATGAGGACAATGCTGCTGGATAAACCCTTGAGGATATCATGTCACCTCCAGGATCAGCCTCTTGGCTGGTGTTTGGACATCTGTGGGAGAAGGCTGCACATTCTTGCTCCCAGCACAGCAGATGGGATGCTGCAAATCTAACACTCATGGGATGAACTGCAGTTTTCTCATGCAGTGCAGGCCTGAAAATTGCTCTAGGAGGAAGGGATCTGGACTCTGATTACAGTCTGTTCCTAAAAATCTGTTTGGCTGTTTTTACAATCACTTATTGTAGAGCCTTTCCCTAAGCTCTCAGTGTAATGCACTCTTTCCAAAATCAGCACATTTTCTTTTGGGGCTATTTAGAAGGGTACTGACAGGAACATTTGCTCCAAATCCAGGAGCTCCTGGAGTTCTTCCAGCTCCCACCACGCCAAGAAATGGAGAATAGCTCTGATCTCAAGGACAGGACTTGTGTCTGACACTGACACACAGAACACTTCTGGCCATTGCTTCTGGCCATCAATGCTCTTTTTAACATAGGTAAAAAATACGTAATCAACTTTTCTAAAAAATACCAAGAGAAAACTTTGTCTGACCAGGCAAAAAACTCCAGGGCAGAGCTACCCTTTAAGATGTTTTATTTTCCATCTAAAACTGACACTTGTCAGCATAGTTACATTCAATAAACAGGTGAGAAAAAAGCCATGTTCCTGAATGGCATAATCACGCCAGCAAAATTCCTGATAGAGATGTAAGTCCTTTCCTGCTTTTAACATGCTCTGTTTAGCTTAAGCCCATTCTGCATTCTTACAGTCTCTTTGAGTCTAAACAAGACCATAACCATGTTCCTGCACAAAATGTTTATGTATATGTTGCTTATGGGATGAAGGTGGAAGGCTTCTCTTCCATATGGATATGGAAGCAGAGTCCCAGTCTACCTTTGGAAGTGCATCGACGAACTTTACCACAAGCTCCCCTTCATTCCCATCCTCATTTTCTCCTTCCTGGCTCTTTACAAAACCTGCAAAGGGACAAGAAAAGAGTTTACCAGAAAGGAGACAGCAAGAACGGGGCTACAAATCCTTTTCACATGCCACGCTCCAAATTATTTTCCCACTTGGACACAGATTTTAAAATTATTAAGAAGCTTAAAGCCTGAGCTTTGGGTGAATGTTTACACAGTAAATTTACAAGTGATTTTACTGGAGCATTGTTAAATGGTTTAATTTTACAGTTAAACTTGGCAGTGAACAGCTCAGTGCATACATGGACTGGAGGATAAGAACATGACAGCTCTTCCTACGCCACTCAAGATAGCACACTTTTGAAATTCTAATTTAAGATTCGTAATACACTGTTTCCATAGAAATTTATGCAAATTTTGATACAGCCAAAAAATAATCTTTTATGGAACTGTCTCTTCCACCGCGCTCTGACATGCGATAATGTGATGAAGCAAACACCAGAGCACACTGTCCCACTTACAGAAGCAGCCCTGGGATGGGGAAGGGTTTAAAAAACCCCAGCAAGGCCAGGGAGGCTCGTGTTACATAAACAGCTGAGACTCAGCCCCGCAGCACAGGGCCAGGGAGGGAAACCTGCAGCACTGGGAGGACACAGTCCCACTTACACAGTCAAATCACTTGCTTTCCTTTCACTTTTAGCTGATCCTCTGACTTGTTCTTTGTTAAACCAGGGTAATTCAATTATTTAAAATTATTTTTATTAGCATAATGCGGGTGTGTTATTTTGGAAGCACCTGATTTTGCAGCAGGCACAATCAGACATTTAATCAATCACGTTTGCTAAGGAGAGATTTTCTATGTGATGAGCAAGAACAGCACGTGTTTCTCTTCAAGAAGGAAATGATCAGGTTGCCAAAGAAGATGGAAGAATTGGGGAAAGGTAATTGGATTACAGCTCCCTTGGCTGTAGGGTTTGGATTGTATGGCTGACAGTATGGGCTGACTTGCAAACTACAACAAATCTTTAGGACATGCCTTTTTTGCATTGGAACAAGTGATCCACACAGCTATTTTTCTAGATCAAAGCAAGAAGAAGGGGAACTAATCCAAACAAGCAGAAAACTTTGACAGAAGTAATAAGGATGGGCAAAGCCATACTTTCTAAGCAGCTAGAATGAAACTCGATGTAGAACTTGGTCTGGGACTTGGTCTTCAGAGTAGCGTAGCAGTGCAGGAACTCTATCTCCCCTTGGGAATCTGTGTACTTGGAGTCTAGGAAAGAGGAAGGAGATAAAGAGAGGGCATTTTAAAGTGGACTCTTTAAGACATCTTTTTCTTTCTGCATGTACAAAGCACTACATTTTGTATCCCAAGGTGAAGATGGCACACTGGCACCCAACCTGACTGACCGTTCTTGGAGACAAACTGTGAGGTAACTCCCACTTCAAAGGTGGCAAAGACAGGACTGTGGTCACTGGTCATGATGTCAGTGGTGCAGCCTGCCAGCGAGAAAGGGAGGATAGTTACTGCCCTGCTCCAGGGAGATCTCTGCCACAGAAATACTGGGTGGGAATTTTCCAGAAAACCTCACAGTCACTGTGGTAACTGTCTCTAGTCAAAGGTGTTTCTTTACATAATCCCATGTCAGTATGCAGGAAGGTAACTCTTCTGTCAGAACACAGAAAGATTTGATTAATGGACCCAATTTTACCATATCGTTTTGGAAGCGACTGTCAGTGGTGGATTCCCCCAGCACAAAAATCCTTTGCAGGCTTCCTGGTTGCCTCTGCAACAGGCACAGCTAATTAAAGCTCTAATGTGGCAGGAAATTACACAAGAATACACTGGTGCTACTTCAGTGCTACAGAGCAACTCCTGGCCTAAGTTAACAGTGAGTGAGCAGGGCCTGATTTGCTCTAAGCACACACTGAGATCCAGCAAGCCCAGCCTTTCTACAGGTGCATATTGGACCACACACCCCGGCATCACAGGCTCTGTGATCAGATCAGTCCCCCTGATCGCCTGAGAGAGCCCTCTTCTCAATCCCATGAATAGGAAACCATCAACATCATACTCAGATGCTCAGTCCTACATATAGCCACTGACATTTCAGAAACTGGTATCTGAGTCTTTTTTTAAACAGGTCTTGTGGGCTTTCTCTCTTCCCTGCACTGCACTTCTGTGATGCTTCTCAGCAGGAAAGGGAACAGGCTCTTGGTACCACACAGTCCTTCTGGCATATGATTTGGTAGAAGAAAGAGGTTTGCAGCTCCAGCCTCTGCAGACTGGACTGTGCACACAGGGTCTGCCCTGCTGGCAGCACCAAGTGAGGAGTTCCTGGTGGTAACTGCACAGGAAAAGTGGTGGTTGTTGCCAAAAAATATTTGGTGTAAAGTGATCCTACAGCATGGCCTAGAGCTGGACAGCTGCAGCTGTTCGAGTGGTGTTCTGCACGTAAATGAATAACAGAATTAATTCTCAACCCTGGAAGGTTACAGGCAGAGAGATTTGGCTCTCCACTGCCTGGTTTAACATCAGGTCCCTCTATGCTGAGTGCCTGGCAGTGCAGGGAGATCCTGCAGACTCTGCTCTGAATCATTTCCGTTTCAGACTGATTGCCTTGCTATCTGCAATCTGTTATCTACCCACCATAGGACTGACACACAACGTGCACCATGGGGTAGGATTTCCAGAGCACTCGATCACACCAGGATGGCAAATTGTACTTCATCTGCAAAAAAACCGAAATGATGTCAAGAAGAAGGGAAAGGACTAGTTCACAAAAGGACAGGAAATTCACTCCCCCAAGCACCGTATATTTGTGTCAAGTCTGTTTGTTTGTATTGACTCCTTTCGAAACGTTACAAGGGCAGGAAATGCAGAGATTGGTTTAGGAAATTTTCTTCTGTAGGAGGTACTTTCCCTGCTCTGCCACGTACCTCAGAAGGGAACTCAGGTTTCACCTACCCCTGTAGCCTTTTGCTTGGTGTAAGCGTATTTCTCCCGGGTGCCTCTCTCAAAGCGGTAGGTTGGAGCAAATGTGATTTCTTCTTCCTCTGGAACAGGGAGAGCTCTGTCACAGCCTGGCCCACGGGCAACCCTCCTCTGGGCAGGACAGCCACTGCCCCCTGCACCCACCCCACAGCAGGGCTGGCAGAGAGAGCTGGTGGGAGTGGGACAGGAACCTGCCAGCAAAGCCAAAACCTCACCGAACTGCAGGAACACCTTTTGGTCTTTCCTCTCAAGGAGAAGCTGGTCAAAAGCCAGCAGCTCCGGATACTGCTGCTGCCTGATCTTCTGGATAATGTTCTCTGCTTCCTGCCAACAGGGAAACAGCAGAGCTGCAGATGATGCAAAACCTTCTTATAAATACTCCCTTCTCTGGTGAACTGGCAAATGCTCTTGAACTGTTTCACAGAGCTGTACCCCTGCCACTTCCCCACCTTTCCCTTCACGGAGAGGCCTCACTCTTTGCTGCGTGGATGAACATTTGTCTATCAAAACAGGCATCAAAATGCCCACACATCCCCTACATAAGCACACACACAACCACATGCACATCAACACCAGGCTTGCTGTTGTCTCCCACCTAC